TCGAACTTCGCGACGAAGCCTGACGGGGCGACGCGAAGCAGCTTGTGGATGGCCTGGAGCTCCTTCTGCAGGATTCCCCCGTGTGGCTCGAAGAGCTGGCCGACGTAGCCGAGGCAGGTGACGGCGGCGACGTTGTGGAGCTTGACTAGCTGATGCAAGGGGGCGCGCGACGCGGCGAGTTTCTCCACGCGGCCCCACCACTTCACACATGGGCCACGCCATTGGTCCTTCGAATGTGGCGCCAGGGCCGATGAAGAAGCCGAGGTAGCGGGCCTCGTCGGCGACCTTGATATCTTTCCACGGCTGGTGAACGGAGGCCAGGATCTGGCACGCCTCTTCGATGGCGTTCTGCGTCGGTAGGCTCCACGTCGGGACAACGATGCATTTCTAGGCCTGAAGGCGGAGGCCCGCCAGCGTCTCCACGGCCAGCATGCGCGGCGCGAGCATCTCAATGTCGCGGAGCCTGGCGAGAATGATGCTCAGGTCGTCGGCGCGCGCGCTGAGGAGCCCGCGCGCGATGAGGCACAGCTCGCGACCGATGGCAACGATGATCGGGTCGAAGACGAGTGCCCAAATAATGCCGCTGAGGGGGCAGCCCTGCGCGACACCCGAGGCTGCGACCAGCAGCGGGCGACGCCCCCCTCCCAACTCCAGGAAGGAGATGGCCAGAAGCAGAACGCGCGAAGCAGCTGCAGCACGCGGCCGTGCATGCCCCAGCGCTTGAGCACGCCCCACATCCACTGGTGGCCCAGGCCGGGGAAAGCGGCCGCGATGTCCACGCTTATTATGAATACGGCACATCATCAGAAGCCGCGGGCGCGAAGCTGCGTCGGCGAGCCTCAGCGTCGACAATCACTACATTGTTCAGGAACTGGCGGCCGTTGACGAAGCCCTGCTGCTCGGGGGCTGTCTGGGCCGCAAGTTGATGGAGCTGACGGTCGGCCGCCGACGCCAGCAGCTTCACGTCGACATTCTTCATTGATGGCGGACGGAACACACTCCGCGTTGCCACAGGGCTCGTCGCCCTTGGGAAGCACGGCCATGAGGGAGAAGTTGAGGTCGCACGGAATGTGATCGTTGTTGGCGATGTCGGTGCAGACGCCAGCGGGGACGTCGAAGCTGCGCGGCGTGCGCTACCACGCACGGTAAGGAAGCCCATCAAGTCCAGGTGCAGAGTCACCCGCAAGGCGCCCTGCCTTTTCGAGCGCCCTGGCTCCGGGTGGGTCGAGGTCCACCGGCGACTGCTGACGGAAGATGGAGCCCAGGTACTCGGTCAGCTGGCCGGTGTCCACGCGCACGCGCTTCTCGGCGAACACAGGGCCCCAGTGCTGCGCGATGGCCCGGTGCATCGCAGCGGGGTCGGCAAAGACGTTGCGCTGGGAGCTGGTCACGATCTTGATCCCCGAGAGCACCAGGCGTTTGGAGAAAGGCTTCCAGAGTTCACCACGCTGCCCCTCACGCTTGGCGCGCTGACGCCACTTCTGGCCAAGGGGGGTGTCGTTGGCTGCATACGCGGCTCTCGCCCGCGCCGAGGCTCTCGCCTTCCTCTCTTCACTGAGGCTGGCGCGCGTCGAGTCTGTGGCCGAGGTGAAGTCGGTCATGTTGCTGCTGCTGATCTCGCCGTCGGCAACGCTGAGGCGGTGCTTGCCCGCGCCGGTATTATCCACCAGCAGCGCAGCGAGGGGGGCGCCCTGGAACCAGACCGCTCCGGCAACGCAGCGGAGCGTCATAGCTCTCGTCTGTTTAGCAATCTCGACGGACAACGATGTCAACTCAGCAGCAGGGATCTTGGTCAACGCGTCGTGGGTCTTGGCAGCGGCTGAGTGCAAAGCCGCTTTCAGCGCCCTCCACTTGGCGACGGGGTTCAGCTGCGTCAAGTCCACGGAATCGATAGTTTACGCGACGCGGTGCTGGTAGTGCTCGGAGTCGAAGAGAAACGCTGGAATACCTCTTTCTCGCTCGGGCTTCGGCTTTCTCCGGTGGACGCGGAGATGCAGGATCTCGCGGTCGCTGATGGGGCCTGGCTCGTTCTCGAGCGGCGCGTCGTCAGCGACGCATAGAACTTCCTTCCATCAGCGGCATCAGGTGGCTGGACAGAGTGATGAAGCAGCGGTCGACCTTGAACTCGCCCACGTTTACCTCGGACCTGCGCGCGGTCGACGTCGCGGCGATCTCGATGACGTCGCGAAACAAGCTGCGCCAGAAGATCGGCTGGCACTGATAGCGCTGCGCCGCCGTCGTGTCCGAGTCCACGGGCGAAATGATGGACATTGGCGGGAACGCAGAGATGTTGAAGTCGCCCGCGATCGTGAACAGCCGCTGCCAGGGTAGTGCATCTGCATGTTCACGTAGGTCCTGCCAAGCCGCTTGCAGACGTAGGCGATCAGATTGCGAAAGCCCATGAGTGTGGATGGTGAGCACGGCAACGTCAAACAGGAGGCTGCCATCCGCCACGCGCAACCAGGCGGCGCGGCCAAGGATGGCGACCTCGAACCTATGCTGAGGCCGCTGTTCTGGCGGCAGCTGGAGCTCGCGCCTGTCGAACGGGACAAGGAAGCCAAGGCCGCCAGCGCTGGCGACGGGAATGTTGTCCACGTGGACGGCCTGGTGATAGGGCTTCCACGAGTACTGCGTCGAGCTGGCGAGGAGCTGCACATCGTCGAGGGTGCCGTGGGTTTCTTGTACTGCATGTAGCGCACGCTGGCGAAGGTGAGGTAGCAGGATCCGACGCTTATCATCACCCCGTTGATCCGAACGTCCAAGTAGAGCTTGGGAGCTCCAAAGGCAATGTTCTAAAGCCACTGCATTGCTGCGAGGGCGTTCGCAAAGTTGGCGGCGAACTCGGTGTTGATGGCCTGCTGAAGAGCCTCGTCGAAGCCGCGGTTGGCGCCAGCTGCGGACCACTGCAGATTGGTGGGAGCATCAGGAGTACTGCCAACGTGCAAGCGAACAAGAGCTCCCCAATTGTTTGCCACGTAGCCGAAGGCCCGCTGAACTCGGAGATCCAGCAGTGGTTTCTTGCTCGGCATGATCTTGGCCAGGCGCTTTGCTTGGACTTCTTGTCTGACCATCTTTAGGCTCGCGTCCGCCGATACGTAGAGAGGGACAGATCCACCAGAGCCAGTCGCCACAGAGAAAGTCCTCCAATCTTTTCCAAGGCGATGCGCAGAGTGGAGACGCTGCGCACGAGGTTCCGCCACCAGAATGCCTCCACTGAGCTGGAAGGTATGGCGCTTGGCAGGGCCGACCGTGCCGTAGATGACGTGAGTTGACTCGATGTTGGCGGCGTCGAACCAGGTCTGAAGCGCTTGCTCCAGCTCGGGCTGGTCGAAGTCCTGCGGGCTGCTGCGCCAGAAGACTGTCGGGTCAGGGTCTCTGTTCCACGTCCCCAAGGCGTCGAGGTTGAGGGCGGGAGCTCGGGCTTCAGCTTGAGAGACAAGGTTCTCCAGCTTGGCGACTGATGCCTTGAGCTCAAGTTTCGCGGACTCCAGGAAGGTCGTGCGTGCGGTGACGGCTGTGATGGACCGCTCGGTGGCCTCGTGGCGCTTGCTGAGGTCCGACGTGATGGAGGTGACTGTCCCGAGGAATTCGTTGCTTGCCGCTGACGTGACTGCCTTGGCCGTGGCCTCGAACTTCGCCGCTGCTTCCTGCACTTGCTTGTCCAACGCCTCCTCGAGGTGCTTGCGGATGTGTGCCGGCAGACAGTGGACAGGTAGCTTGGCAGCGCTGGCAGCCATGGATATGATCCCGCTCCTCGCTTGTCACTGGACGTGGGCTCCGTTCCTGCAGGAATGATATGTCGGCCAACTGCAGGCGATTGCACCGGCAAAGAGTACTTATGAAGCTCAGCCTCGCGGGCGCAAGGAAGGCGTGAACGCACGTCCGGTGGTGTCCATGGACCCAGGGTCTCCGTGCTCTGCCACGGGATAAAAGTCACCTTGAGCCCACATGACTACGGACGCAAGAGAGGAGGAGGAGGAGGAGGAGGAGGAGGAGGAGGAGGCGGAGGAGGAGGAGGCGGAGGAAGCGGAGGTGGAGGAGGAGGAGGAGTGAGGACGAGGAGGTGGAGGAGGAGGAGAGGAGGGAGGAGGAGGTGGAGCGCGGCCTGGAAGGAGGAGAGGAGGAGGAGGAGGAGGAAAGGAGAGGAAAAGAAGGAGCAGGAGGAGGAGGAAGAGGAGGAGGAGGGTGAGGGAGGAGGGAGGGAGGAGGAGAGGGGAGGAGGTAGGAGGAGGAGGAGGAGGAGGAGGAGGAGGAGGAGGAGGAGGAGTAGCTCTTGTGGTCGGGCCCCGGCTGTGCTCCAGGCCCCTCGCCCGAGAGCCCCGGGATCACCCGCGGCGCGGCCAGCGCGGCGCCTGGACCCCCCCCCCACCGGGGGGGGGGGCCAGGGAGAGGGGGGCGCTCGCCCGCTCGCGCGCCGGGACCTGCCCCAGACCCCCTCGAGTTATGGAAAAATCACGACGGGAGGTTTTTCATTATTTTTGGCCTTTGGGGGCCCTTACCGGCCCTCGGGACCGTCAAAAAACGACTAAAACCGGTCCCAGGGAATGGGTCGAGACCACGGGGGGTCGACGTCATGAAAAAATCACGACGTCGGGGGTCTGGGGCGGGGGGCTGCCCGACGCGGGGTTTTTCTGCCGGCGTGGAGGGGCCCAGGGGCACACGAGGGCACGCGCGCCGAGCCCAGGAGTCCCCCCTTGGCTGCCCACACCTTCCTGGGACGCTGTCTTGAAAACCCCCCCCCCCCCCACCCCCATCTGCTCCATATTCCCTGCAGGGATTAAATCCGCCTTTCTGCCACAGTGTGTTATAATCAATAAAACTACATAGAGTTTATCTGATATTATCATGGCTTCCAAAGAATTTATACAATTTTTTCACACATATATATATATATATATATATATATCCCCGTGGGGGTAATCGACGTTCACTTGTGCCTCTGTGTGTCCTGCCCCTCCTGACCGTGTCTGTCCCCCGGGCTCCTCTCTTTGAGGAGCCCCCGCGAGCACCGGCGACGTGGCAGGCATAGCACAAACGGGCGTCACACTGGCCAGTCCGCGCGCCCAGATCTGGGGACCTCTTCGAGCGAAACGCTGGCGAGGGCACCCCCGACCCCCTGTCCTTCTTATCTGCACCGGCCTTACAGACGTGCTGCAGCGGAGTTCTGCGTGGATTATGACCCGAAGCGGCGAGCGAAAAACGAAATGAATCTCGCGCGGGCTTTGGGGGTCTTCATTCCTGGCCCAAAATTATCCCGGCAAAGCAACCTAACAGCGATGTGTAGAAGCATATCTGAAAGCATTCCCCTTAAGATTCAAATGAAAATCCAGTTGTAGAATTCTGCTGTTCTCGCAGTCGTAGTCACATTCGCGATGACAGTCGCAGCGGCAACGGCAGTCGCAGTCACAGCCTCAGCCTCAGCCTGCCTCAGCCTCAGCCTCAACCTGCCTCAGCCTCAGCCTGCCTCAGCCTCAGCCTCAGCCTGCTTCAGCCTCAGCCTCAGTCTGCCTTCAGCCTCGGCCTCTGCCTCAGCCTGCCTCAGCCTCAGCCTGCCTCAGCCTCAGCCTCAGCCTCAGCCTGCCTCAGCATCAGCCTGCCTCAGCCTCAGCCTCAGCCTGCCTCTGCCTCAGCCTCAGCCTGCTTCAGCATCAGCCTCAGTCTGCCTTCAGCCTCGGCCTCAGCCTCAGCCTGCCTCAGCCTCAGCCTGCCTCAGCCTCAGCATCAGCCTGCCTCAGCATTCAAAATGTGGCGCGGGAATGGAGTTCTGGGAACTCGAAGAACACGATGTGGCCTACAGTTGGCTCCGGGCATTCAAAATCATGCCCAGGAATGGAGTTCTGGGAACTCGAAGACCACGAAGTGGCCTACAGTTTTGGCTCCAGGCATTCAAAATCATGCTCAGGAATGGAGTTCTGGGAACTCGAGATACACGAAGTGGCCTACAGTTGGCTCCGGGCATTCAAAATGTGGCTCCGGGAATGGAGTTCTGGGAGGTCGAAGAGCACGAAGTGGCCTACAGTTGGCTCCGGGCATCCAAAATGTGGCCCGGGAATGGAGTTCTGAGAGCACCAAGAGCGATTTTGCGAGGATGTCCTAAGCGATTTCGGCTTCGGCGGCAGCCTCCCCGGGTCCCGCCCCGACCCCCCTGAGGAGTCATGATGCTCTCTTTCTTTTAACACCACTAGAAACCTATCAGTCTTCGCTGTTAGGTAGAAATATAGTTGTTCGTTATTGTATGTTTATTTTTGTATGTTTATTGTATGCTTATTCTCGTCTTGCTCGTCCTCCTCCTCCTGGGTTTTTTTTTTTTGTTTTTTGCTCTCTCACTCCTTCCTCCTCTCCTCCTCCTCATCCTCCCTCCTCCTACTACTCATCCTCCTCCTCCTCCTCCTCCTCCTAAGTCCTCCTGGTGGTCCTCGTTCTCCCTCCTCCTGGTGCTTTCCCCCCCCCTTTGCCTCCTCCTCGTCCTCTCCTCCTCTGTCCTCCTCCTCTCTTCCTCCTCCTCCTCCTCTCCAGTCTTCCTGCTCGAACCTCGTTGTAGCCCCCTCCCCGCCTCCTCCTCCTCCTTCCTCTTCCTGGGTCGCCCCTCGTTTCATCGTCTCCTCGTTCTGCTCGTCCTCCCTCCTCCTGGTGTTCTCTCCTTTCCTTCCTCTTCCTCCTCCTCCTCCTCCTCCTCCTCCTCCTCCTCCTCCTCCTCCTCCTCCTCCTCCTCCTCCTCCTGGTGGTCCTCGTTCTCCTCCTCCTGGTGCTCTCCCCCCACCTCCTCCTCCTCGTCCTCCTCCTCCTCCTCCTCCTCGTCCTCCTCCTCCTCTTCCTCCTCCTCCTCCTCCTCCTCCTCCTCCTCCTCCTCCTCCTCCTCCTCCTCCTCCTCCTCCTGGTAGTCCTCCCCCTCCCCTCCTCCTCCTCCTCCTCCTCTTCCTGGTCGTCCTCCTCCTCCTGGTCGTCCTCCTCCTCCTGCTCGTCCTCCTCCTCCTCCTGCTCGTCCTTCTTCTCCTGCTCCTCCTGCTCCTCGTCCTGCTCCTGCTCGTCCTCGTCCTCCTGGTCTTGCTCGTCCTCCTCCTCGTCGTGCTCTTGCCCCTGCTGAAAATGTGGCCCAGGAATGGGAGTTCTGGGAAGTCGAAGAGCACGAAGTTGCCTACAGTTGGCTACGGGCATTCAAAATGTGGCCCGGGAATGGAGTTCTGGGAACTCGAAGAGCACGAAGTGGCCTACAGTTGGCTCCGGGCATTCAAAATGTGGCCCGGGAATGGAGTTCTGGGAACTCGAAGAGCACGAAGTGGCCTACAGTTGGCTCCGGGCATTCAAAATGTGGCCCGGGAATGGAGTTCTGGGGACTCGAAGACCACGAAGTGGCCTACAGTTGGCTCCGGGCATTCAAAATGTGGCCCGGGAATGGAGTTCTGGGAAGTCGAAGAGCACGAAGTGGCCTACAGGTGGCTCCGGGCATTCAGAATGTGGCCCGGGAATGGAGTTCTGGAGGTCGAAGAGCACGAAGTGTGTGACTGTTGGCTGAAAACGACTTCTGCGGCACCCTGTCCGGCACCCGCCCAGACCCCCCTGTGGAGTCATCTGCTGCTTTCTTTTGACACCACTAGAAACCTATCAGAACAAGCTGTTAGGTAAAAATCCGCACGAAATTCACCTCGAAATCCGGAACGAAATTCTCCAGGACACCCCGGGCGCACCCTATCGTTTTCCAGACGAAATTCGCTCTGCGATGTTGGCGCCACGACCCTTTCAGAGTCCCAGGATCACGCCGACGCAGCAGGCACAGCACTGGGGCACGCCTTGGGGAAGCTGCCAGGGAGCCCTGCGTCGCCACAGGCTAAGGTTCTCTCACTCAGACACTCGCAGACGCGAGTGCGAGGAACTGAGATGCACATTGTGGATCGAATCCGACGGGTACAGCCCTCGTGCTACCATACTCAGAAGCCGGGCGAAGACTGGCAACCCCGTGGCTGCTAAAACGGAGCTCAGGGAAATTGTTTTTTGTTCTTCTGGGAAGCCGCCTGGTTACTACTTAGCGCGCTGAGCTTTATTCCAGGAAATTGTTTTTCTTCCGGGAAGACCGTTGTAGCAGCCACGGATTTGCCAGCCCAACCCCAGCTCCCGACATACTGAGCTCCTTCCTACACAAGGAACGAGGCCCCTCTGCGGCCCTAAGAGCGCATGGGTGCACGAGGACCTCCAGAGGGACGGCCATGAGAAGGCCTGAGGAACAGCGACCCTATTCCGACCCCGAGCTGTTCCTTACGGTGAGCAGTTCTTGCTTAGCGTGTCGCGGCGGCGCCCACAGCGACACGCTGTGCCCTCTGCCGCTTGCGGGCTGGGCCGTGGATAGCGCGTCCCAACGAAGCGTGGTGGGCCAGAACCGGCTGCGGGACACGCTAAGCTTAGGTCGGGCATGTCCCCTTACAGGCGGACTTGGACGAAAAATTACTATAAAGATTCAGAAATAGTAACAAAAATAATCACACACAAAAAAACGTCCCCGTCATATTTGTTTCGCTATGTTTGAATATTCCTCCTGTAGAGGGACAGGCCCGACTTAACGCTGAGCCAAGGATCCTGACCCCGTCCCGGCGTCTTGCCTGCAGAGCCGTCTGGAGGTCGGAAAGGGGTGTGGCAGAAAGGGGCATGGTGCCCATCGTGGGAGCGGCGATGCCATCTGCGATGAATAACATCGCCAGTCCCCTTTGCATAAAATTAGCACCACACCCCTTTATATCATACCCCTTTCCTACACATCGTTCATCTCTAACCGTGATCGTTTCTACTTGCGCTCGTTTCTAAGTGCTCCTGGCCCCTAAGTGGCCAGGAAGAGGCCCAGGATGGAGCAATTAGAAATGAAAGGAGCTTGGCCCCCAAAAAAAACAAAATGCTTGACTCGCGGGTCGAGAGCGCACCTCTTCCGGTCGAAGCTAAGCGGGCCGCGCGAAGCTTGAATTAACCAGGGATGGGGGAGGGAAAGGGGGGGCGCAGCCTCAGAACGAGGCCGGGAGGAGGCAAAGCCTCGGGATCAGGCGGTGCCGTAGTCGGCCCCCCAAAAAATCCAAAAACTGTCGTAGACTTAGAAATGAACGGTGTCCACCTCCAGAGGGCCCTCTCGGGGCGGCCACGCCACGACCGCGGGCCTCGCAGGGGGGGCGCGCTGGGCGGCCGGGGCTCCAGCCGCGCCTCAGGCGCGGCCGCGGTGCAGCGCGAGACCCGCCGGAGAGGGCGCGGGAGGGGGGGGGGCTGGGCCCCAGACCTCCAAGGTCTCGATTTCTCCTCCTCCTCCTCCTCCTCCTCCTCCTCCTCCTCCTCCTCCTCCTCCTCCTCAACGCCTCGCCCACCGCGAAGGGCCGCGGCGGCGCGGCGAACCGGGCCCCTGCCCCTCACGACGCGGCGGACCGGGCCGGCGCGGCCCGGCGTCCGGCTGGCGGCTCCGTCTGCGGCAGCTGCGACTTCCTCGGGCGGCGCCGACAGGTCGTCATCGTCGTCGTCGAAGGTCGAGCGTCGAGCATCGAGGACAGAGGTTATGAGACACTTTCGCCACCTGCTGGGCGTCTGGGGACCTCCACGGAGACCTCCACGGAAGCCTCCTGGAAGCTCTGGAGACCCCAGGAGACTCCCGGAGAGGAGGAGGAGGAAGAGGAGGAGGAGGAGGAGGAGGAGAGGGAGGAGGGGAGCAGGAGGGGAAGAAGGGTGAGGGGGAGTAAGGCAGGGGACAGGGTGAGGGTGAGGGTAATGGTGAGGTGTGGGTGGAGAAGGACACACTCAACAAGTGCTCACCTCATGGCCGCACACGGAGCAAGAAAGCGAGAGGGAGGAAGGGGGCCACCTGACTCAAAATCCTCCTCCTCCTCTTCAACCTCCTCCTCCTCCTCCTCCTCCAAAGCAGCAGCATCGTAAATACTAAGAACAATAATAATAATAATCATAATAAATCATCATCATCATCATCATCATCATCATCATCATCATCATCATCATCAGCATCATCATCATCATCATCAGCAGCATCATCATAATCATCATCAGCAGCAGCATCGTCATCATCATCACCATAATCATGAGCAGCAGCATCATCGTCATGATTATCATCATCACCATCATCATCATCATCATCATCATCATCATCATCATCATCATCATCATCATCACAATCAGCATCAGCATCATCATCACCATCATCCTGAGCACCACCATCCTCAGCAGCAGCAGCAGCACCGGCGTCATCACCATCGTCAGCAGCAGCGTCGTCGTCATCGACACAGTCGTCATCATCAGCAACATCAGCCTCATCAACGTCATCGTCATCACCATCATCATCAACATCATCATCATCAACACCAACATGATGATCATCGTTATCATCATCATCATCATCATCATCAGCATCATCAGCATCAGCATCATCATCAGCATCATCATCAGCATCAGCATCATCATTATCATCATCGTCGTCATCATCATTGTCATCACCATCATCATCGTCATCCGAATCATCCTCATCATCATCCTCATCATCATCACCATCCTCGTCCTCATCCTAATCACCATCAGCATCACCATCATTATCATCGTCAGCATCATCATCAGCAGCAGCATCATCACTCATCAGGGTCCTAATCCTCAGCATCAGCATCAGCAGCATCGGCATAAGCAGAAGCATCATCAGCATAATCAGCATCATGGTAATCATCATCATCACCATCATCATCATCCTCCTCGTCATATTTATCATCGTTCGTCGTCGTCATAGTCATCGCCATCGCCATCGTCATCGTCATCATCATCACCATCATCGCAACCATCATCACCATCATCGTCATCATCAACATCACCGCAAACATCATCCTCCTAATCATCATCCTCACCGTCAACAGCAGCAGAAATCCGCATCATCATCATCAGCATCATCATCATCATCATCATCATCATCATCATCATCATCATCATCATCATCATCGTCAGCATCATCATCATCATCATCATCATCATCATCAGCATCAGCATCATCATCCTCAGCAGCATCTTCGCCATCAGCATAACCCTCAGCAGCAGCATCATCGGCATCGTCATCAGCATCATCAGCATCATCATCCTCAGCAGCAGCATCATCAGCATCATCATCAGCATCAGCAGCATCGCCATCATCATCACCTTCCTCATCAGCACCACTGTCGTAATCATCATAATCATCATAGCATCATCATCAACAGCAGCAGCATCAGCATCACCATCGTTCGTCGTCGTCAGTGCTATCATTATCATTATCACCATCGTTGTCATAATCATCCTCAGCAGCGTCATCGTCATCAGCAGCATTACGTAGCAGCGTCAGCAGCAGTAGCATCATCATCATCATCATCATCATCATCACCGCCATCATCATCAACATCACAATCATCATCATCATCATCATCATCAGCATCATCATCAACATCATCATCACCCTACCTTCCTTATCTTCTTTCTCCGCTTCCTTCGCCATCACCCACCGACCTCTTCCTCCGCGACGATCGACAAATCCGCGAACTTGTGCCGAACAACTTTCCGAACGAACGAGAAGAACAAGCCTCTGAACTTTTCGACCGCGAACAAGCATGGAACACTTACCGAACAAACCCACCTACCAATTGAAGAAGGAACTCCTGGGTTTCTCTGCAGCAAACACGCGGGAGCAGACGCCTCGAACGCCGCGCGATGTAAGCGTTGCGCACGCACCGTCTGAGCGACACAACATCTGCACCAGTCGATCGAAGTGCACGAGCCGTCCGCGCGACTGTGGAGCATGATATTACGATAAGGCCGCTGCTCGCGCTGAGCCACTCCTGCCTGGCGAAGGAAACAAGACAAACGCGGTGATAACCAACACTCGCGAAACGCAACACAAAAAAACGAACAAGAAACAAACATGAAAATTGCTGAACAAAAACACTCCTACAAATAATAATGACAGAATAACGTTCCAGTTTGAATACCAGCCCGGTAAACTGGCCACGTCAGGACAGGTCACCTGAACACGGCAATCCGCTCAAAGACTGCCGAAATCCTCCTCCTCCTCCTCCTCCTCCTGATCTTCCTCCTCCTCCCCCTCCCCATCCTCGACCTCATCCTCCTTCTGCCGAAAACCAAAAAAAAAAAAAGAAATGGGAAGACAACGCATCGTTGTCAGTCCGCGGAGTTACGCACATCAGAGCTGGCACTTCTCCTGCACCTGAAAAGATAGCACATCGTTGCCAGTCCGCGGGAGCTCTCACCGCAGCGCTGGCACTTCTCCCGCGCCTGCCAAAAGAGGCCCTCGGTCAACGGCATACCTAAAGAAGACGTTTTAGAATGGGTGCACGTGCTGTCACGCCAGCGGGCGGAGCACGTGCGGTCAGGGAAGAGGCGTGTAAGCTCTCCATAAGCATAACCACGTATGTACATATGACTCCAACGACGACGAAAATGACGACGACCACGACGAAGACGACGAAGACGACGACGAAGACGACCACGACGAAGACGGCGACGACGCCGACTCGGCCTCCGACTCCGACTCGGACTCCAGGCTGCCCCGGGATGTGAGCGTGCGGGGGAATCGAGAAGAGACCGAGGGAGAGCTGCAGGGGAGCAGGAAGGGCCATGGATGGGACAGGCCTCGGAAAAAAATAGCGAACACTCATGCCACATTCATCTGTCAACGCCTCCCCCTCCCCCCAATGTTCAAAGTTGGCGGTGGGTCTGATGAAATGCACCTCGACCGCAGTCTCCCCCGCGCGTGCCAACTTTGACTTTGGGGGGCAGGGGGGGTGTTGACGAATTGTTTCCCTCTACCGGACCCCCAGCCCCTCGTGGTTGTTTGCGGACTTGAGCCGGTGCGCATCCGAACGCATCTGAGAATGCGGGCACTCTCGCTCTGAAGCCTCGGGGATGCATCGCAACCGGCTCCCATCTGAGAATGCGGGCATTCTCGCCCTGGGACCTCTGGAGCATCAAAGGAAAGAGGGCAATGGGCATGTAAGACACAACGTGACGTCTCCCCAGGACCCCCCCGGGCGGCCCAAGGAGGTCCCCCAGGCAAGCCCCGGGAGGTCTCCCCAGGACGCCCCGGGAAGCCTCCCCAGGCGGCCCCAGGAGGTCCCGGCGGCCCCCACGCGGGTGGGCTTCAGGAAGCGTCCTTGGGCGGCTCCCAAGCGGCCTGGCCCCAGGAAGCCTCCCCAGGCTGCCCCAGGAGACCTCCCCAGGCGGTCAAGGAAGCCTCCTCGGGCGGCCCCAAGAAGCCTCCCCAGGCGGTCGGTGAAGGAGGCCTCCTCGGGAGGCCCCAAGAAGCCTCCCCAGGCGGCCCAGGGAGGCCTCTCAAGGCGGTCCCAGGAGGCCTTCCCAGGCAGCCCCAGGAGGCCTTCCCAGGCGGCCCCAGGAGGATCTGCAGGAACCTCTTCGGTAGAAGTCCAGAGGTTTGTTCGGTTGAAGTCCAGAGGCTTGTTCGGTTGAAGTCCAGAGGTATGGTCGGTAGGAGTCCAGGGGGTTGTTCGGGAGGTCGTGGATTTGCTTTTCTTTCCCTGTGGGCCTCCGCCTGCTCTGCCATCCTCCCATGGCATCCTCCTCGTCACTGCTTGTGGGCCATACTCCCGCAGGCCAAAGCCTTAGAAAGACCGTCGGGGTTCGAGAACTGGAGGGGCGACTGCGGCGACGATGGCCCCTGCGGGGGTGGCGGTTTGGCCAAGACCGGTGTCGGTGTACAGCTGACCTTCTTCCCGAGGGAAGGGACGTAGGGAGGGAGGAAGGGAGAAAAAGAGGTAGGGAAATGGGCATTTGGTGGAGTGGAACATGTGTGTATAGTTTTATGCATGTATACAAAAATCTGTAAACAGATGTGATACCGGAGAAAAACCATACCTGAATATTTTGAGGGCTCTAAGGGGTATGGGGCTATAGGGCTATAGGACCATGGGGCTATAGGGCTATAGGGCTATAGGGCTATAGTGCTATAGGATTATAGGGCTATAGGCATATAGAGGGCTACAGGGCTATAGGGCTATAGGGCTATAGGGCCATAGGGCTACGAGGCTAGAAGGCTATAGGGCAATAGAGCTAGAGTTCTAGGGCTATAGGACGTTAGGGCGATTGGGTGAAAAGAGCTATAGGGCTATAGGGCTACAGGGCTATAGGGCTATAGGGCTATGAGGCTATGGGGTTATAGGGCTATTGGGCTATCGGGCTATAGGGCTATAGGGCTATAGGGTTATAGGGCTATAGGGCTATAGGTAGGGCTATAGGGCTATAGGGCTATAGGGATATAGGGCAATAGGTAGGGCTATTGGGTTATAGGGCTATAGGGATATAGGGCTACGGGGCTATCGGACTATAGGGCACCCGGGCTCCTTGGCACCCGGGCACCCGGGCACCCGGGCGTGTCGCCGAAACCGGCGCCCCACATCACCTAACCATATGAATCTGCTAGGGCCCCTACAGAGGCGAGCTCTGATTGGGGAATAGATACAGATAAGACTCTATATGTAGATAAATGGACAGATCCATGCATCAATGTGTATGCAATGTGATAGTAATGATGAGAATGACGATATAGAAGAATGACAATAGCGGAAATAACAAAATAGTACGAATAATAATGATGATATGAGAATAACGAAAGCACTGATAGTGGTAGTAGCAATAACAGTAACACAATAAAAATGACGATGATATTCATAGTGATAGCAATCATAATCAGCCATAAGAATAAAAATACTGATACGAGTGAAACAAACAATGGTGACACGAATGAAACATAGTAACGCGAATAACATCAAACATGGGATTACGAATCATAAGAATGATAATAATTAACATGTGTGTACACACAGGTGTATATAGATAGGTAGACAGATAGATAAATGTGTTGGTAAATAGGTTGGTAGGGTGATGGATACACACACACACCATATATATATATATATATATATATATATATATATATATATCGATAAATACAGTGAGAAGGAGGGGGAAGGAACGGGACGGAGCGGGACGAGGCGAGGCGAGGCGGGGACAGCATAATAGAAGGAGAGGGGAAGAGGGAAGGAAGGGAGAGAGTAGAAGAGGAACGAAGAGAGAGAAGAGAAGTGGAGGAGGAGAAGGAGAGGAGACGGGGAGAGGCGAGAAACGGACTAGAGGGAGAAGGGGGGGGAGGGGGGGGAGGCTGGAGGGAGGTTGCAGACCTTCGTAAAAGCCTTCAGCTGCTCGCGCGCGCGCTGCTTTTTTCCTCCCACCCTCGGGGCCTGTCGATGTGCACCCCGAACTTCTGGTGCTCGTCCTCGACGTGGAGGAGGCAGGAGTGGAGAGAGCAGGCAGGGAGCAGCAGCAGGGGGGGGAAGGGAGGAGGAGGAGGAGCAGCAGGAGGACAGGAGCAGGAGAAGCTGGGGGAAGAGGGAGGGAGGAGGGAGGAGGCGCAAGAGGAGGGAGGAGGAGGGAGGAGAAGCAGGAGTGGGAGCACGAGCAGGAGGAGGCGCTCGTCCTCCATCGCCTCCTCGTCCCTGTTGTCCTCTACGACCTTCTGCTCGGTCCTCACGGGCGGTGAACGGTACTTCCTGCTCGTTCTCCCCTTGTTATCGTACCCCCCATTCCTCCTCAACGTTTTGCTCTCCCGGCCACCTTCACAACCTTATGATGTGTGTGCTACAGATAGCGCTGAGCACCACCTTCCCCTCTTCCTCATCATCCTCACCCTCAGCCACTATCATCAACAACCTCATTGTATCAGTCATCGTCATACTCCATCTCATCATCATCATCATCATCATCATCATCATCATCATCATCATCATCATCATCATCATCATCATCATCATCATCATCATCATCATCACCATCATCATCATCATCAGCATCAGCATCATCATCATCAGCATCATCATCATCAGCATCATCACCATCATCATCATCATCATAATCATCATCATCAACAACAGCATCGCCATCGTCATCATCGTCATAATCAGCCAGTTGGTCACCATCATTTTCAACCTCGTCGTATCAGTGAACGTCATACTCCATCTCATCATCATCATCATCAGCATCATCATCATCATCATCATCATCATCATCATCATCATCAACATCGCCATCGTCGTCATCGTCGTAATCGGCAGCATCGTCGGCGTCACCACTGGGTTCGTCGTTGTCGTCGCAATCGGCATCACCATCGTCGTCATCATCAGCAGCCACACCATACCCATAGTGGTATCATCAGCAGTGTCGTTATCGTCAAAGTCACCATCAACGTTATCAGAGGCATCAGATGCATGACCGACGGCATCGCCAGCATGAGCATCAGCATCAGCCCCATCAGCATCATCATCAGCAGCAGCATCAGCATCATGATCATCATTATCAGCAGCAGCATCAGTGACATCACCACCAGAATCAGTATAATCATCATCATCATCATCATCATCATCATCATCATCATCATCATCATCATCATCAGCAACATCATCGCCATCATCATCATCCGCATCATCTGCATCAGCAGCATCAGCATCATCAGCGTCATCATCCTCGTCGTCATCATCATCATCGTCATCATCAGTACCGGCATCAGCATAATCGCCATCACCATCATCATCATCATCATCATCATCAGCATCAGCATCATCAGCATCAGCATCATCATCATCATCATCATCATCATCATCAGCATCATCATCATCATCATCATCATCATCATCATCATCATCATCATCATCATCATCATCATCATCATCATCATCATCATCATCATCATCATCATCATCATCCGTAGCCATGTTGGCTCAAGCGAGCTCGGGTGCGAGCGGCCCTAGCGGCGCGCGCGGTGCACGCGTGCAGGCGTTCCAGTGGCCATGGATGGACGGGCGTGGGCTGCGGCTAGCGCCCGCACGCTGGCGCGGCGGCTGCGGCGTCAGCGCTGGCAGGAGCGGGGGCAAACGAGGGCGGCGGCGCTGGCCTGCAGGACGAGGGGCCTGCGCGAGGCCCTGGCCGCGCACTGGGAGTTGGGCGACCGCCTGGGCGGCCATGCCCCCCTTTTTCGGGAGGCGGTGGTCATGGGGCGGCTGCTGGGCTGCCCAGCGGAGGTGCTCGCGGAGGCGCAGGAGCACCTGGCCCAGGGGAACTGGGCGAGGCACGCGCCACCCCCAGGCCGCGCGCGCCTGCCCGGGCCGCCGCCCAGAGCAGCGCGGGCGGACGAGCTGGAGGCTTCGCTACTGGCGGAGACGGCGGGCCAGCCCTGGCCAGCGCGGACGGCGCTGCGCCGAGTAGCACGGCCCTTCGCCCCGCTGCGGCACTACCTGCTGCCCGACGCGTAGCCCTTTGGCGAGCAGGCGGCGGCGGCGGCGGCGGCGGCTGGCGCCCTACATGGAGCCCTTCGGCGTGAAGGAGGCGGCGGCAGCGGCGCCCGACCTCGCGGAGCCCCTCGGCGAGCAGGCAGCGGCGGCGACGGCGCCGCCTTACCCCGCGGAGCCCCTCGGCGAGCAGGCGGCGGCGGCGGCGGCGCCCTACCATGCGGAGCCCCTCGGCGAACAGGCTAGGGCGGCGGCGACACCCTACCTCGCGGAGCCCCTCGGCGAGCAGGCGGCGGCGCCGCCGCCCTACCTCGCGGAGCCCTTCGGCAAGCACTTCTTCGACTGGATCGACGACTCAGAGCTCTTCGGCCCGGGGGGGCCGATTGAGAGGGCGTATTTCCTCGACCGCGCCAGCTTCGACGCGCTGGCGGCCACATCCAAAGTGCAATACGACGCTGTGGAGGAGCTCAGGTTGTGCGCGATGGACCGGGTCACGGACGACCACAGCGCAGGGCGCGACGTGGACATGGACGAGCACATGTGTGCAGTGATGGCCGAGGCCTAAGGGCTCTCGGCGACGGACTGAGACGAGTGTGTCTGCGCGGAAACCCTGGGGAGGGGGCCCAAGTACCCCGTGAGTGAGTGAGCCTGCCGCTGTGCCGCGCCGAGACCGATCGAGGTCTCCTGAGAGAGGTGGGGGGCGCTTCGGAGTAATGTAGCTGATTGGAGAGTTCGGGGGGGCACCGCGAGTCGGCGGCTGCCCCCCTCGGGAGAGCGGGATCATCACCATCATCATCATCATCATCATCATCATCATCATCATCATCATCATCATCAGCAGCAGCAGCATCATCAACATCATCATCACCATCATCATCAGCATCGTCATCAGCATCGTCATCAGCATCATCTCATCATCTGTATCATCATCATCATAATCATCAGCATCATCAGCATCATCATCAGCAGCATCACCATCAGCATCATCAGCAGATCAGCAGCAGCATCATCATCATCAGTGTCAGCATCGTCGCCAGAACAATCATACCAGGAACTCGCAGTAGCCGCACCATCACCAACGACCAGCCTCAGCATCACCACCATCAACATCATCCGCATAATCAGCATCATCATCAACATCATCAGCCTCATCAGCAGCAGCAGCAACAGCAGCATCAACATCGTCATCAGCATGAGCATCATCAGCATAAGCAGCATCGTCATCAGCATCATCATCAGCAACAGCATCCTCACCATCATCATCAGCAACAGCATCATCAATATCATCATCAGCAGCAGCAGCATCATCAGCATCACCATCATTATTATCATCATCAGCCTCATCAGCAGCAGCATCAGCAGCAGCATAAGCATCGTCATCATCATCATCATCATCAGCATCATCATCAGCATAACCAGCATCAGCATCAGCATCATCATCAGCAGCATCATCATCAGCAGCATCATCAGCTTCACAATCATTAGCATCATCATCATCGTCATCAGCATCGCTATCGTCATCGTCATCGTGATTATCATCATCATCAGCATCGTCATCATCAGTATCGGCATCATCATCGTCATCGTCATCGTAAGAATCACCACCAGCAGCATCATCAGCATCAGCATCGTCATCGGCATCATCACCACCACCAGCAGAACCATCACCACTAACCTCATCGGCAGTAGCAGCAGTATCGACGCCATCACCATCATCAGCAGCAGCGTCGTCATCATCAGCACCGTCCTCATCATCAGCAGCATCAGCCCCATCAACGTCATCATCATCACCACCACCATCATCATCAGCATCATCAGCACCAGCAGCATCATCATCATCACCAACATCATCATCAGCATCATCATCATCAGCTCAGCATCAGCATCATCATCATCCTCAACGCCGTCGTCAGCATCAGCCTCACCATAACCAGCTCCCTGGGAACCCTACTGACATAGACAAGACCATCATCAACTACATCGACATTGTCGTCGTCGTCGTCGTCGGTGGCATCGTCGTCAGTCTCATCATCATCAGCATCATCATCAGCATCATCAGCTCGTCATGATCATCATCATCATCCTCATCATCATCATCATCATCAGAATCATCATCTGCATCTGCATGCTCATCCTCGTCAGCATTCAAGGCACATATGAACGACCTCAACCAAACGAACAATGATCACGCATACCATGTGAGCCCAGTTGAACCGAAGCTGGCCACAGTCGGCATAGCTGCAGGAGCGAGGGCGTGCCGCATGGTTGGCGTGATGTCGGATGGCACTGCCCACTGCTCGACGATGCGCACTGTTGTCCGAAGCTGTACCGTGCGGTCTCGCTCCCGTCATGGTTTAGCTGTTGTGGATGTTGCGGCTGCATGGATTCAGTGGTTGCCCCATGGCGCTAAATATGGCCCGCGACGCGCGTGCACATGCCATCGGTCTCGTGCCATTCGGTGAGATGCCCTGGTCAGGGCAAGAGGGTGCCTGAAGAGGGGCGTGGTCTGGTCTAAATCGGCATGAATATCTGAGTTGTCAGGACACGTACCAAGGCTGCTCTTTCTCCATTCGCTATGGCATGTGGCCACAGGGGCTCGGAAGAGATGAAAGCGGCAGTGCAGCTCACATCGCCCCAACCCCCATCCTCCTCCCTCCTCCTCCCCTTCTCAGCATCATCATCTCCTATAGCACCCACACGATCAGCCGCATGCTCCACCCTCCGTCCGCCTCCTCCCCCTCCTCCTCCTCCTTCTCATCCTTCTCCTCCTTTTCCTCCTCCTCCTCCTCCTCCTCCTCCTCCTCCTCTGCCGCCTTATCCTCCTCCTCGTCCTCCTCCTTGCCGTCATCATCATCAGCAGCATCAGCAACAGCAACATCATCATCAGTCCTCCCTCCCTCCCTCCCTCCCTTCATCCATCCATCCATCCATCCATCCATCCATCCATCCATCATCCTCCCTCATCCCCCCTCGTCCTCACTCATCCTCCCTCATCCCCCTCCCTCCTCCCCCAGACCTATCCTGGGGCGCGTTCTGACCAGGAGTTCGAAGCGAATCCAGACATGGCGAGGAGGCCCCCCCTGGAAGCCTAAAAGTCCCAATGCCCAAATCCTCTGCGCCCCTCCTCCGTCCGTCTCCTCCCCCTTCCATCCACCGCTTCCTCCTCCTCCTCCTCCTCCTCCTCCTCCTCCTCCTCCTCCTCCTCCTCCTCCTCCTTCTCTTCCCTCGCGTCCTCCCTCATCCTCCTCCCGCGCGCGCAGGGGAGGGGAAGCAGCTAGAAGAAAGGAGGGAGGAGGGAGGAAGAGGAGGAGGAGGAGGAGAAGGAGGAGGAGGGGAAGGGGGAGAAGGAGGAGGAGGAGGAGGAGGAGGTCAAGTGAAAACCCAAGAGTCATCAACGATGTTGCAGTACACACTCCCTTCAAGCTCCCTCTTCATAGGCCCCTACAAGGGTTCATTTCCACTGAGGGAACTGCCTCGTTGGACGACAACCGCTTGAAGAGCCTCAAGAACGCCAAAACATTGTTCTCGGGATTCCAGCGCCACGGATCAATCTGACTGTTGCGTCTTGGCGATCCTGAACCGTACCAAAACACCATTCCTGGGACTCTAACACCGCGAACCAACGTCACTGCTGCACCTTCATGATCCTGAATCCTTCCAAAAACACAATGTGTGGTACGATGATCAGGGGAACCCGTGAAATCATTGCAAAGTTTTGATAATAAAAGTAAAACATGTACGCGGCGCGAAGGCGAGAGCCACATTTTGAAAATGAACCGCCCTCAATCCGTGAAAGTCTTGCAAATGTTTAAGACGAATGTGCGCGGCGCTAAGGCAAAAGACACATGTTGAAAACCACCCGCCCTCAATCCGTGAAACTCTTGCAAAGATGAAAGAAAAACTAATGTGCGCGGCGCGATGGCTAAGAATCACAATTTGAAAATCACCCGCACTCAATCCGTGAAAATCTTGCACATGTTTAGAACTAAGCCGAGAGCCACATTTTGAAAACGAACCGCCATCCACCTGTAAAATGGTTGTCAACGTTTAAAAAAGCTTCAGGACCATACATTGTGAGAATGTCTCAGGCGAAATGCCCGGACCACCCTAAAAACTGGCCTCGGGGTACGACAGGGAGAAGGTATTTTCAAGGAGAATGGAGGAGGAGGAGGAGGAGGAGGAGGAGGAGGAGGAGGAGGGGGACAAGGAGGAAGTGGAGGCAGGAGAAGGAGGAGAAGAGGAGGCAGGAGGAAGAGAAGAAGAATAAGAAGAGTAAGAAGAATGAGAAAAACGACGACAACGACCTACTACTCAGTCCTCAGAGGCGGCGAGCGGTACATGACCTGCTTGCCGGCCTTTCTGAAGACTGGCGCCTGGGAGCGTTCCAGGGACGCCTTCAGTCGCCTCTCGTCCTTGGCAGGTGGTCGGCTGGCAAGTGCTGGGGCAAGACAAGAAGGACGACGACGACGACGAAATCTCCTCCTCCGCCTCCTCCTCCTCCTCATCGTCCTCCTCCTCCTCCTCCAAAATCCTCCTCCTCATCATCATCATCCTCATCCTCCTCCCCTCTCGCGCAGTCCTCCTCCCTCCTCCCTCCACCCACCTGCTCCCTCCTCCGTCCCCCCTCGTCCCTCCTCCGTCCTCTCCTCCTGCCTCCTCCTTCGCCTCCCTCCCTCCCTCCCTCCCTCCATGATGATGCTGGTGATGATGCTGATCATCATGTTGGTGATGGTAAACCGTATCGTGACGATGATGGTGCTGTTGATGTTGGTGTTGAGTTATGAATGAATAGTTTTAATCACCCCTCTGGTGGACCTTGTGTTTTTCAATTGAAGTGCCCCTCCCGGGGCTCGCACCCTGTCTTGAGAAGGGAAAGTCTTGCGGCTCAGATTGTGTTGCTGGCCCCCGATTTACAACGACAGCGGCCCCCGCCCGATACTCCTCACAAAGTGCATTCCAATGCGCGCTCCCACGGGATTTCCTCACAAATTGTGCAGGAATCGGGCTCTCGCGTGGCATTTCCTCCGAATGTACTGATTATTACGCCGCGCCCCATAACTAAACTAGGAGGCCACATGCGAACCCTACCACACCACCCCACGATTTCTAAGGGGAAAGGTGGGGTTCACTTCGTTCGAGACCTCCCGAGCGAAGTGAACCCCACCTGTCCCGTGAGAAATCGTGGGGTGGTGGGGGAGGGATCGCATGTGGCCTCCTACAAACACTCAGGAATCACGCTCTCGCTCTGGAGTTCCTCACGATGTACTTGGGAATCGCGCTATCGCTAAGGAGACTTCCTCACGATCCATGCAGGACCGACGCTGAGGGTGGCCGCGAAATCCTCGTCGACCATGGTTTATTATCTAAGAATGATAAACCTAAGTTCATTATGCGTAGATGATACCCCCATTGGATTATCGTCCTGTGGCTGGATCGGTGTTCCCCCCCCTCGCCGGATCATTTTCATTCCGGAATAATGCATCTGGGGTCGATATTCCGACATAATGAACCAGGGTGGATCCCAGTCCAAACTCTTTCTCAGGCGCCCCCCCTCCGCCGAATCATTATAATTCCGAAATAACAAGCCTGAGTTCATTATTCCCAGAACATTACGAACCCAAGTTTATGATGTGCTAGAAATAACGGACTAGACTCAATATTCTAACATAATGGATCCCAGTTTGGAGGCGCCGGGCTGGGGGGAAATAATAATTATCATCATTCTGGAATCATAAATCTGGATTCAGAATATCCACCTATGGCTCAGGCGACGCCCCTCAGCTTCCATTCTTATCATTCAAAAATGATAAACCTGGGTTCACTATACCCGAGACACGATTAACCTCAGTCAATATTCCCAGAACATTATGAACCGAGGTTAATATATATAAATATATATATATATATATATATATATATATATATTGGGGGTCGATGTTCCCTGAACATTATAAACCAAAATTTAAAATGTTCCGGGGGGAACATTATGAACCGCAATCGATACGTACCGGAACATTAAAACCCAGGTTCATACAGTTCCGGGGGGGGACATTATGAACCCTGGTCAATTACCCCGGACCATTACAAACCCAGGTTAATATCTTTTTGGGGTTCGTCCTGCCGACGCTTATTAGCGACCCGCCCCCTCGACCCCGCGGGCAATGCCACTGCTGGATCCGCCTCGGAATCATTGAGTATCGTTTAACCGATCCCCATCCCCAGCGGCGTGGCCTGGGCCCCACTGGCCGATTTACCTCTCGATAGGGATATAGGACGTTCCCTTCTGGTTTCGAGGGGTGTATCCCCAACTGGGTGGGTAATTTGGTGGGGGTCTCGAAGGGGATGGGGATGGGCATGGGGATTGGTTAAACGATACCGAGTCGTTGTCGGAACGCGCGCAGGGAGAGGCCCAGGGAGCGAGTCCAGAGTTGGATGAAGTGGAAAACAGTTCCGCTGCGCTACGCTACTCCCGATCGGCCCGAAGGCCGTGCCAATCTGGAACTCGGGGGGAAAAATCTCGGCCCGTCCCTCCGGCACCCGAGCGACTGTGCGATCGTCGTGCATGGATTGCTTCACGGGCAGGCGGGAGCGGGAGCAGGAGAGGGCAAGGGGAAGGGGGAGGGAAAGGGGAAGGGAAAGAAAGCCTGGTAAAATCCCACCAGCCTTTTGGGTGTAGGTAGGTGGTTTGGATCGCTTGTTATTCCTAACCTTTTTTTCAGAGGGAGGGGCTTACGTATTCTTCCCCCTACCTCACGCAGGAGGACTTCCCCCCCTCGCCTAGCCACGCCAAGAGGGGCCCTCTCGGGGCCATTTTGGGGCCCTTTGGAAGGCCTCATGGGAGCATCTCGATGGCAGCTGGGAGTCCCTGGGGGGCCTCTTGGGGGCCCTGTTGGGGCCGTTCTGGGGCCCGTGAGGCGCCCAGGACGCTGGACACTCTCTGGACTCATTGGGATTGGGAGTTGGGGCCCTCCTTGGGCCGTCTTTGGGCTCTTCTGGAGCTCTCTCTCTCTCTCTCTCTCTCTCTCTTGGGGTCTCCTTGAAAGCCTTTGGGGCCCTCTTGGGCCCCTCCTGGGCCCGTCCCGTCTGGGTGCTCTCCCTTGGCCCTCGCGAGGCAACCTCGAAGCCTCAAGAGCCCTTCGGGAGCGCAGGGGCTCCGAATCCAAAAACCCGTGTCTTTCCGCTAGAAGTTGGCGGCGCCTTGTGGCCATCCTGTGCCGACCTGCAGGCTGGCTTGGCGCGTCTTCTGAGGTCTCGTCCCCTCTCGTCCGCCCTATGGCCTGTCCCCTCCCTTGTCCCGTCCTGTCCTCTCTCTCTTGCCCTGCCCTGTCCCCTCTCTTGTCCTCTTCTGCCCCCTCTGGCGCGTCTTCTGAGGTCTCGCCCCCTCTCTTGTCCTGCCCCGTCCTCGTCGTCTGGGGCAGCCGGGCGAACGTTTTTTTACTCGGCGACTCGACGTTGAGCGAAGGGGGGGGGGTCTGGTTTCGGACCTCTGCTGAATGCGACTGTATACAACAGTGCGTCCTGTGGTGGAAACTTCACCTGCTCGAACAGGCGCCAAAAAACAGCCAAGATCTACTCCATAGGAGGGGGTAGTGGGGGTGGACGCGAGGACCCAAGCCGATCGGCAAGACAACGAACAAGAAAACGACGACAACCCCGCGGCCTATCCCCTCTCTGGTCCCGTCCTGTCCTCTCTCTCTTGCCCTGCCCTGTCCCCTCTCTTGTTCTCTCCTGCCCCCCCTGGCGCGTCTCCTGAGGTCACGCCCCCTCTCTTGTCCTGTCCTGTCCTCGCCGCCTGGGGCCGCCTGGGGCCGTGGATGAGTGTCTGGCATGGCCTGGCCGTCCGGGGGCCGTCGCGAATAGTGCGTCCCGGGCCAGAGGAGGAGGAGGAGGAGGAGGAGGCGGAGGAGGAGGAGCAGGAGGCCGCCCCATGTTTTTGGAAGGGTCTCTCCCCTGGGTTTGGACGGCGGGCCCGAGGTGCCAAGGGGGCCCCCCGCGGCCCAGATGATGACAATAAGGACGAGGATGACGAGGATGATGGCGGGGATGAGGATGACGATGACGATGATGCCGAGGAGGAGGATGAGGATGAGGACGAGGACGAGGATGAGGATGAGGGGGAGAAGGAGGATGAGGATGAGGATGAGGACGAGGATGAAGATGAGGATGAGGATGAGGATGAGGATGAGGATGAGGATGAGGGGGAGAAGGAGGATAGCGAGGAGGAGAAGGAGGCGGTCGGGTGGGCGGCTGGAGGGGGAGGAGAAGGTGTCAAGACGGCTGCAAGAGGGCTCCAGATGGTACAAGGTGACCTCCAGGAAAGCACAAGGCTCAAAATGGACCTCAACGAGAGGCCTCAAGACCACCGCATGACGGCCCGAAGTGGGCACGGAGTCTTCCAGTGCGAGCCCAAGGAACCAACACTCATCACTCGAACACTGCAGGTGCTTCAGTCAGTTTGACCTTCTCGCCTTTTCGCTCCCAGTGCGCTTTCGAGGCCTTAAGACGGCTCCAAGATCGCCTAACAGAGCCCCACCCAAGAGGTGCCAATGAAGACTCCACGACGGCCCCAAGAGCGCCGAATAGCGCCCCCGAAGGGCCCTAGGAGGCGAAGTGTCTGGCTCCGACGGGGGATGCTAATTATACCGTCCCCATCGCTCAAAGCCAATATGTACATATACTACACACATATATATATATACTAGATGTATGAGATCTGTGTGTTTACATACTCTATCTATATAACTATATAAGTCTATGTAAATATATATATATATATATATATATATATATGTGTGTGTGCGTGCAAAACTGACTAACGGATATGTGTTGAATTCGCGGGGGGCAGCTTCGGAAGGTTTCGGGACCAAGATGGCGCCAAGATGGCCCCAGACTCATTGAGATTGCTTCCAAGATGGCGCAATATGGTCCAAATGGGCTCGGTATGGCCTTCAGCATGCCTCGGGGACGCCCCAAGACGGCCCTGAGACTGCTCCAAATGGCTTGGGAGCCCCCCCAAGATACCCCCGAAGCGCCTATATCACTTCCTACTACAAATGCGCGGCCTCCCCAGGGGTCACGGAGACAGGCAACAGCACTTTGGATTCAGGCACAATTTTCAACAACATCCCTAAGCTGCAAGCGCCGTGGCATACACAGATGGCTCTCGACAAAATGACGGCCCATGACCGGACAGTGCATTCAAAGCTCCAGGGAAGTCGCACAACACCAAAACTCGCGGTGCGCGGGGGAGGCGGGCGGGAGCTCTAAGCCGAGACGTCACCGCGAGAATGGCATCAATGCAAGACTGCGCAATGATCAGAAACATTCGAAGCCACTCGATTGCAGAAATCCACTCCTGATACAAAGTCGCGGAGACAAGCGACAGCACCTTGGATCCACGCACAAC